CTGAGTCCTGATGAGCCAGATGCACGCGCCACTGTTATAAACGTACCGTGCTGCTGACAATGTTTTAAAGTAATGACACACATAAGAAACTATTAAAATCATGTTGATGTGACCTGTTTTGGGGTCTGTACCAAACAAACATGTTTTCTTAAATCTGAAGAACAAGCTTTGTAGGTCAGGTCTTTGCAGAACTACAGTGCTACAGTATTATAATGCTGTTTGCACTTGGCCGTGTCACGATTTGGATCATATTTTGATTAATTGTGCAGCCCTAAAGCAAATTGCAGCTCGAAAAAAACAGGAAGCCTGAGATTGGACAGTAATGTTAGTAGCATTTGTGACACACACACACACACACACACACACACACACCAACTTGTGACAACGATTACACCAACTCTCACATGAGTCAACAAGCACCAAAATCAAATTCCTGATTCTCCCTGTGAGTATGTGACTGTGTGCCCTTGACACTATTGGCTGGCACGGACTGCCCAACCTGTGAACACACACACACACACAAACGTGGCTAACTGCTGTCACAGAGTTTAAAGCCACAACTCAGACTCATTAAACCTGCACGTGACAGTCGACCATCCATCACAAAGCCTGCTCCTGTGATATAAATAAAGGTTTCTGAAGCCAGAAAGCAGCAGGATTCCTCAAAAACAGAGATTTAGTCTATGATAAAAACCGACAGTCTGATTGTTGGCAACTGGACAGGCACTATAAAGTGTCACATGACCAGTTTTGAAGGCTATATCAGGATTCAAAAGCAAAAATCTAGTGAATATTAAATGTTTCTACTCTAAATAATAGTCATTGTTGAGGATGCAATCAATACAACTATTTGAAGCTCTATGGATATGGGTCACTGATTTCTCTTCATCTGAACTCTTTTTGTCAACAATTACACTTGTGAATCTCTTTGCACACAATCAAAACTTAAAAGCATGGATGTGCAGATGAGTCAGTGCAGATCTTAAAGGCCCACACACACACTCACAGACACCCGAGTCAAGTAAAATAACTGTGTGAGTGGACCACTGGTGTGTACAAGCTTCAAGAAGTGCAAAAATGAGGTGTCCAAAAACATTTCCTTGTTCACACACTCACTCACTACCGCCTGTATAAGAGACATTCCTCATTCAGTTCTGACTGAATAATAATTTTGTGTCATTGCTATCAAGTGTAGTTTCACACAACTGTAATGTTTGCATTTATGTGGCACACTGCATTGTGGGACAAAGTGTGCACTTTGTCCCACAATGTCAGCATGAACAATACCAGGACCAGCATGAACAATACCAGGACCCTGAAACTGAAGCAGCTAAATGGAATTCAGCCGTCATTTCTTCCAGTAAAACTACATCAGTAAATGTGTCAGGTCTTACCCCGAGCATCTTGTAGAGGTAGTGATACTGCTGTCCAGTGGAGTACAGCAGGAAGGTCTTGAGGAACAGCCAGGTGTTTGTTCCCAGCCACAGCATCTAAACACACACACACACACACACACACACAGCACAGGATGTACAGGATATAGTCCAAACCCACAGCCTTATGTTCATTATCACTCTCAACAAATACAAACATTTCTAATAATTGTGTTTACAATTCACATGTCAGGATTTACATTTGATCTTAACAATGTAAATCCATGGCATATAATGGTTGCAGCAGCCTGTATGGATGCAGCATATTGAGCATTAACAAACTGATTAACAGTCATTTAAATCAGCGTCTGTGTAGTGATCTTTCTTCAGGATGGAAGGTGGTAAGCCTAAAGAACTCGGACAACATCATTTCCAAGTGTTGCAGCAGCTCGTTAACAGGTAAAACAAACACATCCATGAACAGCCTACGATACGTGTGGACCGAACAGCTCTGACAAAAGTTCCCCACCAGGACCAAGTGCTTTCCCCCCTCGTTGGCGACCCAGCTCCGCGCCGACATGATGCCTTCACTGACTGCAGCTGCCCAAACTTTTCAGTTCAGCCTCGGTGCGGCTGAGAGGTGAAGTCCCGTCCTCCCCGCAGCTCTGTCTGTCTTTGTCTGCCTGTCTGTCTGTCTGACCGGCCGGTGTCTGCTCCGTCCTCCCTGCACTCCTCCGTCACGCCGCTCCTGTCTGCTCTGAGCGCATTTTTGACTTTTCATCCCCCCACAAGTCTCAGCGGCGAGGAGCTCCGTGTGCAGCACATCTGTCCCTGAAGATCATCTCATTTCTGTCTGCTTCACGGTCGACCTGGACGACAAGCGAGCGCCTAAAGCAGCTTGAGTAAAAGACTGACGGCGGGGTGAATAAAGTGAACCAATAAACAGGCAGGAGAACAATAAACATCGCTCCACCGCTCCGCACTGCTCCACCTCGGCCACCAGGGGGCGCCACAGCCTCATATGTCTCACTGCAGTGCGCTCATAAATATAACTTTCACCCGTTATTATGACTGTAAAGTTGAGTTTGCACTGTCTATAAGGTTATATGTGGTGTAACTAACAGCATTATTAATTGTTGATAACTCATTAAGACTTTATTGGCATTATTAGTAATAACTTTTGGGTTTGACTGGTAATCTATTTACTAATATCTCATTAACACTTGCAGTTGCAGATTTGATCGATTACAATCTTTTGTTAAAGACTTATTTACATATACAGCTGCAGATTGGGTGGCTTATTAGAAGGTGAGAGTTATAAATAGATTCTCAACATCTTATAACAGACCTGTCGCTCACCCAAAAGTAGTTCAAAACTGATGCAAGATAAGTGCACACATGATTAATAAACCCATTAGTTAAAACCTATAAAGCCATTATAAAGGATGCCTCATTAGAAAGTGACATTTAAGTGGTAATTGCTTATAATTGATGCTTCAAAGGTATAATATATCATGTTTATTTAACATTCTGACATGTGTTTTAATCTCTGATATTGATATAGTTTATCAGTCTGTAGACTTATTATCTGATCTTTTGGGGAAATGAGTCCAAGTATTACCACTGTACATGTCATCTCCCTGTGCTATCAGCGCCATCTTATGTCTTTATTAAGAAATGCAGCTGAAGCTATGAAAGAAGATTTGTGTTGAGGAGGTTTATCTTGAATTAAAGGACATTACAATGCAGCACATGCACATGCTGGAGAAGTAAATAAAGTTTTGTCTATATGAGTCATAGAAGTACACAATAACCAAAAGTTACTCCCTTTACTTTTCTTCTGGGGCTGTTTTTCATGGTTTAGTTCATTCTTGTCTTCGGAAACAGTGATTGGGGATCATATCACACGAACTCCAGAACAGCTACTAAATGGACCTTTGGGGTGAGATTTTTTTTTATTTTTTTTATCACTTTATAACTTCCATTGTGGCTGCAATGTGGAATGTTTAGCTAACCCCGTCCTACATCGTTTGACCTGATCTTATTACCCAACATCTCTGGTGAATACTCTTCAGGCTAACTGGATGCAAATTCCCAGCAACCAGCAACCTTAAATCTTGTAGAAAGCCTTTCCTGAAGAGGAGCGGTAACATATTAGTGTTTTTTATCAACAGTCTTATATGGGTGAAATCCTTTGTCCATTCAATGTACAAAGATTACAAAATATGGAGGAAAACAATATCAGATCATCACCCAAGTGTCTTCATCAGGGTTGTTTCATGCCCATCGTGGTTTTCTTTGGGATTTCTGGATCATAAACATTCATGTTCTTAATCTGGGAAAACTTGTCATTTGGTCTACATGTAGCCATAATATTTTGTGTTCCTTATCCTTTGTGTTGTCCCGGCTCTGTTATACATCTGGCGTGTGTGTCAGATGTGTGATGCTTTGTAGGCTAGTATTTTTGTTTTACAAGCTGTGACCATAGGAGTATCTGTTCCAACCCCAAAACAAAACTTCTGCAGAAATCATGTATTATTTCATGGGATAATACTCCCCTTGCCTGAGAAAAAAGTTGCTGAGGTTCATACTGTGTTTTGATTCACACATATTCTTTCAACCACACAGCTGCATGACTTTAAACACCACAAAATATAACAAAATTGTTATATTTTTGATTGTGTAAAAGTAATAAAATCCAGCACTGGTTTTAGGAGAACGTAGGTACCCAAACAACACAGTTGCAATTAAATTAAAATCAATCAATATACCAGTTCAAGGCAGCTGGTTTAATTAAAACAGTGTGTTGAGGACGAGGCAGAGCTGTGGTCTGTGTCCTCTCTACATTCCTGAGTGCAGAGAGCCTCCTCCCCATTTCACGCTCCAGCCCACTGCATGAAAGAGCTGTCCTCCACAGGATACAAGCACAGGGGGTCAAGCACGACTACGATCTGTATTTTTTAAAGTGTGGGAAAGAAAGACTGTCTATTGCAAAATACTTCACACCTGTAAACTGAAACTGAGCTAAAAGTGAAGAGAACCAGGCTTTAAAAATTGACTTCATCTATGCTAACATGCCTTTTTCTGTAAGATTCATACCTGAAACACTGTTTAGTGTCTGTTTTGCTGGTGGATTGGAAGCTGTGGTGACCAACTTACTTTATATGTCACAGCTTTATGGATTTAGTCTAAATTTTAACTCAGTATCTCATAATTTTGATTTGGAAAGTCTAAAGAGTGACTTATACTGCAAGTATTTCTATATAATGTGTAGAAATGGGCTTCCATGGGCAGATTTGATAACCATCATACAAATATTTTTTGTTACTTTACTGGCTTATTACTATAAACTTTGTAGTCTTATAATATATGTATAAGACTACACACTCATTTTTTGACTATAGCTAGTAACTGCAAGACACCTTTTTCACACGAGCTCAGGCGATTATCTATACATGCGATACATGTGTCCTCAGAGTGAATTTGGCCATCTAGTTTCAGGTTGGGTAATTATGAGTCAGCACTGGAACAACCAAGGTTCACAGTCATCAGTCTACTGGCCAAACATAGCACTAATGACTAGCTCCGTCATTGTACTCCTCTCCAACTTTCTACTCACCAACCCTCCTCCCTGATCTCTCTCTCTCTCTCTCTGCTTCTCTCTCTCTTTCTGTGTCTCTTTGTCTCACTCTATCTCACTCTGCCATTCCCCCACAGTGCACCACTTAAACAAATTACTCTCTATCTCTGCGAGTGAGCTCTGCAGGGTCAGGCGTGTCGCTGTGTGGAAGTCTCTTGGATATACCGCTTCAAAATGAGAAGGGAGAGCAGGTTAATTTGGTGGATCTGGTGGATTTTGGTTGTGACAGCTTTGTTCTTGCTGGGCTTCATCATAGGTAAGATAAGATAACAGAAACTTACACTGGACTGTGTAGAGAGAAATGTAAGTCAATAATCTGCAAATGACACTGACTATGCTCTGCATGTTTGTTTTTAATTAAAGATACCTTATTTAACGTTGTTATAATAGTGAAAATAATGGGATAGTTGACCATGACGTGTGTATAAATGGAAGAGAAGGCAGTTGCTGAAATAACAAATGTAGAGAGAAGGAGAACATAATGTTTTACTACTCTCACAAACTATCAAATCTACTCAGTACTGTTGGATGTTGTGTGTGTATGACCTTTAGTTTGTCACTACTCTGACACATTTCACATCTCTCTGCTCACAGCAGGTTAACACATGCTGCCCATAACCACAACTCCACTCAAAATATACTTTGTAACACAATGAGAGGTTTTTGTTGAGAGCAAATACAACTGGGCAGTGAGTGATAGATATTATGTGTGTTTCTCCTTCTTTATCTGATTTGTATTACTGTAATTTTGAAGAGCTCAGTTTAATCCCATCATAAAGTCACACAGTGCAGTCTTCTTGAGAGAACTAACACTGTCGTTCAACTCTCTGTGTGTGCTGTAGGCTGGTTTGCAAAGCCCACACATTCAAACACTGAAAATAACAGTGCTTCCAACAAGTATCTGAGGGAGTTTCTGGATGAAATGCAGCCAGACCAGATCAGAGAGCATCTCAGGTAAAAAAAATCACTAACAACACATTAAAGGAATGTCCACAAGTAATCCAAAGCAAAGGACAGTAGACGATGTTCTTCTTTCCAAGAGGTTTCTACTCCAAATCTCATGTGGGATTTCCTTGAATCCATGTGGCAAAGGGCACTGAAATATTATTAATAAGAAAAGAAAAAAAATCTGTGATTAATACTTTATTAATTACAATTATTTATTTTAAAAGGCCTACTGCAATGTTTAAAACCATTAGTTGACAATGACATTGCTGTCAACATCGTCTTTTTCATGTTCGTCATCGGTCACTACTATTAATGTAGTTGTTGCCACTGTTGTTGCTGTACATCTGTCTATCTCTGTCTGTCTGTCTGTCTCTGTCTATCTCTGTCTCTCTGTCTCTCTGTC